TCTTTTTACGTTCGGCAAAAAAAGGTTGAGCAACACTTGCTGGTATCAGCAAATTGTAACCAATAAAAACATAAACACTGTTTATTAAAAGAAAAATACTTTATCTTGCACCTAAATAAATGTTTAAAATTTTATGTGTCTGTAAAATTAATCAAAAATTCACTCCATTCTCAAAGTGTTGACCAAGGGGCCAAACAAAATCATCCAAAGGAACGCAAATTGGAAATTAAATAAGAAAGCGCTAATTTTCATTTAGAACAAGCACATGGTAGCAGCAGGTATTTCTTCAAACTCATTCCCCCTCATCATGGAAATGACACAAAGAAAAAGATGCCGCTTTTAAGTTGAGGGCTATCGATCGAAATAGAGCCGCTGCACATAAGCTCGGCGTGAACGAGTCCAGGGTTTGGCGTTGGAGACACAAGGCTGCGTCTTTGTAGCAGATTTATTATTTATTTTCCTTGTGGGAAACCGAGAGTGGTGGAGATACCAGCGGCTTATATATGCATGCTTCCAGGTTTTTTTTTTTCAAACGATTTGAGGGTAAAGTTTATAGTGAGGTGCGCTCTATAGTCCAGAAAATACGGTAATATGTTGTTCCTGAAATGCATCAACATAGCATTCCTTCAGTGAATTTGAACCAAGTGAATATTAAAGAAATTTCACCTGAGGAGTTTTGGATAAGACATATTGACAGACAAAGATGTTTATTTTAAATAAATATAAAATGTACATCTTTTTGAACAGTTTTGGCTTAATTACTAGTCACTGCTCTACATATTTGGGTTTTTGTATTTTCAGCAAATGGCTTTCTTTTGAGACTGTGTACTCCAATGAATTAACCAATTACTAAATTAGTTGACAAGTATTTCAATAATCGTTTTGTCACAATTAATCTGATTAAATCAATAACATTATAAAAGTCCTGCTTGAAGCTTTCCTAGACATTTATATAAATGAAACTGGGATTCATGAGCTGCAGTATTATTTCATGAAATGTTTTCTCAAATGGAATAGAACAGTGACTCTGGAAATGTAGGTGTACTCAGCTTGGCATGCCATTAGATCACTGTCTGCAGCCTGGCTGCCTCTCCCAGCATAATAGCTGCTCTTATTCCACTTCATAAAAGCATGAGAGAGTGCAGGGAGGACCCGGCAGCGATGACTCAGACGCAGTAAGGTCCAGTAGCTGCCCAGCAGCGTGCATCATTCACCGGAGATTGTGATCTCACAATCACCGGGGCAAATCACAGCTGCTCTTACGTGACGCGGACAGGCAAGAAAACGAATAGGCAGCTTCCTCCTGCCGTGTTTACCGTTTGCCTGTATTCCCGGATCATCTTCAGCTTCTCTTCACCGCCCTTGTTCTCTTCCCTCTGTTCGATACTACTGATTATCCTCCAAGACGCTCTCCGAGCCCCAATCACGTTCTTGTAGGCCACCGATAGTAGGTTCCTCTCCTCCACTGTGAGCTCCACATCCATTCCTGCAACCTTTTTCATAGATTCCACCATCTCTGTTAGAAAGGAAAAAAAAACACTTTACAGAGCTAAAACTTTCACCAACAGTTTATAGCCTTTGGATCTTAGAAGGATCGTTCATAATAAGTAGCTGATTGACAGGATATCCGCTGTTGGTCACCTATGCTTCATGACACAGTGGCTTCATCATCATACTGAAAGTGGTTCAGAAACAAGCATGACTATTGTAGACAATTGGCTGAACCAAATTATTTAAAAGGGATCAACGTTGCTATAATGTGACATGTTTGTGACTAATTTAGGTTGAGAGACTACATCAGCACAAGACTTTTAGTAGATAACAGGAAGGAAAAACTTGCTACTTTTTATTCTTTTAGAGCTTTTAGCCTCTGTCATATGATAGGTTAGGAGTGGGTGAGGGTCTCTGTTTTCTAGGGAAAATACATGGAAACCGTTTTTTGCTTTTTTGAGAATACTGAACATATTTGACGCTAAAGATGGTATGAAACACGATGAAGCAGGCAGACTAGAATCAAAAACAACATAAAGATGCCCATCTTGCATGTTCATATAATATAAGAAAAAAATTGAGTCATCAAGTTGTTGCTCTGCTCTTTCTATTTATTCAGACCAAGTTTGTGCTTTTATACATTTCTATTTGATCTATTTCACCTCTTTTACACTAATTAGTTTAGCTGTGAGCCATTTATTTTACTATAAAAGATACAGAAAAATTACTTTTAATGCTTCACCATTCAGCAACATGTGGATTTAGGTGAACTTTTAGGAAAGGCAAAAGTAACTTTCACTACATTCCAGTGAGATTACAGTTTAGCCACCAAACCATAAATCACCCCCCCCCCCCAAAAAAAAAAGAGGTCTCGGTCCAGATCCTGTGAATGAGTCATGGTGCATTCACTTAACGTTGCCGGGCAACGAGTGACCGGTGGCAAAGAAACCCGTCCCAAACAGCCCCCCCTTTAACGGCCAATAAGCGGCTATGACAGCGGCAGGTTTGCACCGGGGTGAAGTCGTCTTCTGTGATCGATCCGCGCAGCTCGCTCGCAGGAAACACCCCACCAAAATGAACAGCTGCGCTCCCACTCCCACTCAACAGGCTTCATGCGGCTAATCGTGCATTGTAGCTAGCATCGAGCCAATGTTGGAGCAGATGAAACTGTGAGAGACGTTCAGCTCGGTGGTTTTATATCCTGGAGATGCTTATATGGAGCTAACAAGTGGAGCTGAAGCGCTCAGATCCAGAGATAGCGTGGGGCATGGGGAGGCAACCCCCCTGACAGCTCACGCTTCACTGATCCGCCATTTTGTTGTAGCCACATCGCTAATGCTAGCCGGAGTCAACAGCATTCCTACGATATTATTGAAACCGGCGAGCTTTGTGGCGGTTGGTAGGGATTTAAAGCAACGTTACTCTCATTTAACAGTAATAAATGTGGCATGTCAGTAAATAGCTGGATAAAAAGCGATGGGAGTAGCAGAGTTAGATCATCTTTACCTGCCCATAGCTATCACTTCAGCTAGTGTTGCTTGAGGGGGGAAAAATCCGAGATGTGAATGCGTCCCACTCCCGGGCGGCCCCTAGACTCTCACTTACCGTCATATCTTTCTGCCTGTTCGGCAAGTTTTGCCTGATAAACTAGGTCTTCTCTCTCTCCCATTGTCGAAAAAGATGAAGGGATAAGATGTCAAGTTTTCAAATCAAAGTGTCAGTTCTCTAACGAGAAGTCACGGTGCTGTGCCAGGTCTGTCGGCGGTTCCTAGAAACCAACTGATCGATGAGGAGTGTTCCGCCCCACCGGCAGCGCTGTGAAGGGATAGAAGAAAGATGGCAACCGGTCCCATCCGGGTACTAGGGACACGGACCACCAAAACGTTCTCTTTCAGTATGGCAGGCCATTTTAACACATTATCTACTGCACTTTATTTGTAGACAGCAAAGTGTGACATCCAGCCTTGAAAGGGATATTCCAAAATTTACACAGTGAAAACTGTGACAGGAAATATATCTCTAAAAGTACATTCAAATGGAATATATCTAACAGTCCGTGTAAGTGAGCATTTCTAAATATATGGCAAACGTGAAAAAAGGGCAGCAATAATCAGTAAACCAAAGTTTCCGGTTTGTGAAAAAGTACTTGCCCCCTAAACTAAATAACTTGTGGCAGCCTTGGGGGGGAACAGCTACCATCAAACATTTGTGATAATGGGTAATCAATCTTTTGGATCTCGTGGTGGATTATGTCTAACATTAACATTTGTTTGATCATCTGGAATGTTTGAGGAAAAAAAAGGAAAACAGAAAAAAACTGCAAAGTTCAATTGTTTTGAGAAGAAGAAAAAGCATTACATGTGGCTGAGATTGAAGAATTTCATTGGAATTATTGCATTTTGGTCAAGAGCATATAACCATTCCAAAGTCGCTCGACTTTCTGTAAAATGACTTTACAGAAAGTCATTTCATTTACTTTCTGTAAATAAAATTACTCATTTACAGAAAGCCATTTCTATAAATCACTTTACAGAAATAAACATCTGTAAAGTCATTGGCAGTATGAGATAAACAATTTTTAAAGTCTGCTTGATATAAATCCTGACTGTACTAGTTTTCATCCTGGTCAAGGCATTCAAGAAGAATTTGATTCTCTGATCAAAATGAACTTCTGGACCCTGCAGTTAGCATACTCTTAACCATAGTTTTAGGCAGTAACTCATGTGTGGCAGGTTTTTATTAATCACTCCGTGTTTACACATAGTTTTCAAAACTATACTAGCAAATTTCTTTTTACATTTTACATAACAGCTTGCAGTTTCAAGAATATTTTTATTCAACAAATATTTCCATCTGTTTTGCAAACTAAATTTCTAATTATAGAAATGAACTTTTGATTAAATCCTGACTGATGAGTTGCTACTTTTGGCTTCCATCTACCCTGCTGTTTTTAGATTAATTAATACGTGCAAGGTAAATATCTGCAAGGACTCCTGGAAATTTTCTACAGCAGTGGAAAATTTGCAAACCACTGTCAGATTTTACCTACAATGTTGGTAGAAGTTGCTCTCGTCAAATCTTTTAATTCATTTCTACCCACAAAATGTTCATGGGCAGAAATGCAAAGATGCACACTCCCATAATGGACAATCTAATATAATATAAGGATATATATATAAGGGTTGGATCAGGAAATTTGGATCAGTAAAAATGTTTTTTGCCCATTATGGTGCTGTATTAGTAGTTGTAAGCCACTACCTCCAGCTGAAACCAATGCTTTTTGAATATCGACCAAGCTGCTTTTTCTTCTGCTCAACTTTCCATTAAAATGTTTGCATTCAGCACTTTTGTCTCAGCCATAACATCCCTTTAGTAAAAAATCAATTTGTGGTCTTACAGAGTTTACTACTGTTAGTTTTTTGATGATAATATAATTTTCTGAGATGATTCCAAACCTTTTATAGTTTTTCACTAAATTAAAAACAGGGGAAAAGAAATCTGCAAGTCTGTCATTTTTCATAGGTTTGACTTTATTTACTAGTATATTAACACATTACATGCTACTGAAAATAAAAAGGTAATTTCAATTGTCTTGAAAGAATATAGTGTTATAATAAAATGGCACATTTCGATATTACACAGTTTCCACTGGCACTCTGCCACCTCCTTCCTTCTTCTGAAAGGAAATGAATGACTTCATGCAGGGCTACTAAAAAAATACTTCTTGGTGGTTTCATTGGCAACACAATTTAGACGATGAGTTATGTGGCAGAGCACCTGCTGTACGCAGAGTCAGAGAAACAAGGCGGATTTGATCAGAACCACACACAGATAAATGGACTGTATTAAAAGCTGGCAGTAAATAAAGGTTTCTCCTCTGAGTCACTACAATATTACAAGAGCAGAAAAAAAAAACAGAAAAGACAAATAAATGAAGGCAGGATAGAAAATTAGGTCAGAGAGATGTCTGGGGCCACCTGAAGACAGATAGCATCATAATACAAACGGTGCATTTAGAGAGGCGTGAACATTTATTAGCACCCCTGATAAAGATGTGTAAAAAGCCTTAAAATAAACCCAGCGTTTTTGAAGCAGCACAAGATCGCTCTGAAGTAATTAGAACAAATAACAGCCTTTAACTTGAGTGCATTCATTTAGTCGGGGAGGAGGTTCTCCTCTTAACAAAGCCACTCCCGAAAATCCCTTCAAAACGAAATGAAACTTAAGAACCTTAAACCGTCTTCAGTGGCATCTTGTGTTTCCATAGCAAATGCTAGATGTTTGTGGATGAAATAAACAATTAAATTCATATTTCAAATAAGAGGGATTTTTAGCTTAAAATGTCAAACTGATTATTTTTGGATTAATTGATTAAAATAACTCCAAAAGGTGGTTAATAGGTGAGGTTTTCTTTTCAGATTCTAAAAATTGAGGAATTATAGGTAGAACATTTGTTTCAGACAATTGAATTTTTTTTAATCTTCAAACTCAAATTGTATACATTTTGGTTCAGTTGTGGCTTAATTACTGCTCAGTGTTCTTTCAGCAAAATGGTATTTTTTGAGTCTGTATGCTCCAGTTAATTACTCGCTTACTAAATTAGCTGACAATAATTTGAATAATTGATTCATTGCTTCAGCCCTAGTGTGGGATTTTCTTTAACGGGTGTGGAAAACACACAACAAAAGTACAGCAGTGGATCTGTGATGCTATCAGGCTGATTTTCATCCACAATAATCCTTTTTTGGTGAATTTCCAAATTATTAAATGAAAGCTTGTTGGTTTCTGATGGGAGACTAACAACAAAACCGTTACACACAGGATTATGATTAAAAACATGAGACATTAACAAAAACTAACTGTCTTCCATGTTCATCTTACATTACTAACTAAAAATGCCCATTCAGACTTGATACCATCGAATTTCTCTCGCCACTCAGTAAATACACTGAAATTAAAGGTTTGGGAGTAGAAAGCATTCTGAGGTATTGTACACATCTTTACCAGAGGAATCCCTCCACCCCTTCACTGTCATCAGGACATGCAGAACATGGTCCCATCTGTCCAAATGTTGCTGCAACGCCATCTGCAGGTGGCTGCTGCACCACAACAGAGAAGAGGAGAGGATGAGTTCCCACAGGTCACGCTTAAAGGTTTTCAGCTTTTGTTCACAAGTCTGCGTCATGATAAATAGTAGCGCTGATGATTGTCACAACAAAACACCTTCCTAAAGGGGCAAAAAACATCATGAACTACAAACCTCAAAGAAACTGTGAAAAGGAAGAGGTAAAACAATAAAAAGATGCTTGGGCCTGTGCTTTGCAACTAAACAGAACTTTTAAATGAGGAAGAGCAAAACAGAAACTAATAAAATAATAAAAAAAAGAACTAACTTGCTCAAGAAGTTCACAGAAGGCTTTAAAACAAGAAGGACAGGTACCAAATAACACCACTTTCTCCTTCCTTTGACACACACGACGAGACGTGGACACACCGCCGTCAGCTTTAGTAGGGTAAATTCAGTGGGCTGAATGCAGAACGCTAACATGATAAGACGGTTCTAACTAGAGTGGCTGGCAGCCTCCTACATTCAGTCTGTTTTACTTCAATTGTGTCCATCAGAGGCAGAGTGAGAACATGCGAGGGTCGGTCAGTTCCTCTACCACAGAGATGTAGTGCCCTCCCAATGTTAAAATCAAAGCAGCTATGAAGACAACTAGTAAGATATAAACAATACTCAGCATGAAATGAGAACCACAGTTACATCATTCCATAACAATATGTTCTATGAATCCTACAAAGGACTACTTGGTGGTGCGTGGTTGGAGGTGATCGGTGGAGCAAGGTTCAGGTGAGAGAGAATGTAGTGTTGCCTTTATCCCCACCTCGTCAACAGTCTCGCGGTTTCTCCTTTGCGACTACATCCAGTTGCTCTTACTGTAGCTGCTGGTTTGAACTTGAGTGTTCGATACTCCATTTAACCGAGAGTTCTACGCCTTCATGTCTTTTTGGAAACGGTTTGCTGCTGAACATGAGCCCTGCTGCTTCAGTCCTTCAAAGTCAGGGGTTCACGCAGGATATTGCTGCATTCATGGCCAGTAAAGGAAGGAGTCCTTCAACAATGAAACAGAAAACGCCTCAGGTTTCCGTTCGTTTTCATCAGAATTAATGCAAATTTAAAGTAGAGAAGTATCGAGAAATCAGCTGACAAACAGAACTGACTGACGATGGTTTCCATACTGAAAAATCACCAATCTTTGGGGTGGATGCTTCTATAGACGCAATGTCATTTTTATACCAGCCCTGTTTAGTCCGCTTTAATCAAACTCTAATTTGTTTGCCTAGAAGTCCGATTGGTTTGCGGAGGTGTGAATGCACAGTCAGTCACTCTGATGCGGGCCAAAAAAGCAAACTCTGTTCTGGCTAAAAACGTAGGTCTCAGTTTGGCTGAAGTGAAGTCTGACGAGATTTGAATTCATAATGTGAATGGAAGCGGACCGGAGACCGCACAAACACAAGAAGTGCACAGGGCATTCTGGGTAAGTACAACCAAAACAAACGTGCGATTCTCACGCTAGAAGAAGAAATGGCTCATGGTCTTTAGCCAAAGTCAAAAGAGAAATACTACCACTGCAGACTTTTCAACCGATCCATCAATAAATTTTAATTATAAAGCACTCTTCAAACTAAAAGCAGCTCAAAGTGCCGTGCAACTTAAAAAATATACTGGTAAGGAAAATGTATAAACTGATCACTACATTTTTACACTGAGAATTTAGAAAAACTCAGTGTAATACATACTGAGACAGTTGTTCTTGTCAAGCTAGCTGAGCTAAAGGCAGCTCAATACGTCAACTATCATCGGTTTCTCTTGTAAAACCGTTTTCCAGTGAATGACATGACGTCATCTCTTCTCCTAATATTATTTCTAATGAAAATGGCAGCCTGAACAGAAATACATCCTGTTTTTATTCTTAAAGTTGCTAAAGAGAAGCTAGAATCAGCTAAAGTTGGTACCAGCAGGTGAAGTTTTTTAAAATCAAGATTGGTGAATCTCTACTTCAAAAAACTTCATGAGGAAATCTGAGTTCACACAAATGAAGCTGGAAAGATAACATTGGAACTGTGAGCATATTTAGATTAAAAGGACTTTTTAAAAATAGGTTTAAAATTGAGACGGGAATGGGGAACTGACACCTAAAATCTGTCTCCTGAAGTTCCATCTTCACATGGATGCTGAAGATGCAACAAGAGAACTAAAATAATTTCTCCTTATTTCAATACATGAGGATTTGGATGTCAAAAATTACATTAAATCACTAAAATCTTTGAGGACTCATGGAAACCAGTTGTTATTAGAGCAAACGTTCTGTTTTCCCATCTGGCATGAATGCAGCCTGAGTGATCCTTAGTGGAAGATAAAAAATAAAAAAATGACAGCAGCCATTACTGGTTTCCACACAGGAAGAGGAAGTGGTTGAACGCTACGTCAAGGAGTCTCCTTAGGAGCGAGCGTCGATAAGCCGTCCACGGCAGGAACGAATTACAGGGAGCGGTCGCCGAGTCCGTGGAGCAGCGGAGGCAGGTTCATCTTCTGTGTTGCAGTCTGGGAGAGCAGGAAGGACGACGAGGAACAGGAGGTGATTATTAATACAAGTAGAAACGGATCACGTGAGGGTGGAGGGGGTCCGACGAGGGCCTGCTTTGTTCTTCGCGATTCCCAGAAACTGTACTTGGTGTGGCTAAAAGCTCAGGGAGGAAGAGGAGGGTGGGGGGAGTGAGCAGGATGGGTGGAGAGGGAGGAGGTTGAGAAAAAGAGAGGTGAGGAAGGGTCTAGTACTAGTGTCCAGGTGGTAGCGTGGCGGTCCGCCCTCAGCTCAGTTCGTCCTCGGCGCTGTGCTGGTCCAGCAGCTTCACGTGCGTGAAAGGAAAGTGGCCATGCTTGCCTTTACATTCGCCCTCCCACTGGCCGTTCACGTTTATTTTGGTCACCTTCACCATGTCGCCCACCTGGGAGGGAGAAAGAGAGAAAATGAGGAACAGAAACACGTCAAACAGAGCAAAGATCTGAGTTAATACGGTAAAATTCAAGCACTTTCAAGGTATGTTTTCACACTTTTCCAAAACCACATAATACAAATGAACTACAACAGTTTCAATTCACTATTATATATATATATCATTAATATTGATAATGTCTTGTAATAGTATTCTACATCCCATAGCGGGGATAAGGTAAACTAAAATATAACTAAATTAAAAAAGGTTTCCTGCCATTTAGCTTATAGGAATATTTTTGGTAATTCTAAATGACCTGAAACAAGAAAAGTTTAACTTCAGACAACGAGGGAAAAATGAGTGTATCTTTTTATCAGGTGTATGGAAATATCTGGGTTCAACTGTAAACAATGCTTTCCATATTTAGGCTTTTATTCAAACATCATTGCACAAAACTGTGCACTTTTCAAACCTGGAAAACATCTACATGAAATTGAATTTTTTCAAGCACCTGTCTTGTATAAAACCGGCATGTCGACGTTTGACCTGCACAGGGAGAGGAGCGGCTGGTCCTGCACCAATTAACCCGAGCAAACAAGTGCTAGCAGACAAGTACAAAGTTCAAGTCGACATTGACAAGAGCAGAAGAGGAACAATCCGATAACTGAGAGTGACGATGACGATACCTGACAGGAAATGACAGATTTCCGATCAGATCACGTGTTAAGATTCCTCACAAAACTAATTTCTACCCTTTAACTTTTGATTTATTTTACGTGTTACGACCAAAATGTTATTATGTCTTATTAGGATTTGCAATAACAATGAAGCAGGACTAAAAATAAGATGTATGCCTGTCTACACATCCAGTGTTTAATTCAAGATTCAATTATTTTTTATTGATTTTATAAATAAATAAAAAATTTTATAAACAAATTGTAAAAGAAATTGTTCTGTGATGAGCCTCAATTAAAATTAGTTAATTGCAGGGTTAATCGATTATTAATTATTAATTTGTAATTAATTGATGGGAATTCATTTTAATCAAAAATCACATGTCCACAAAATAAATATTTTCTATTCAAAAATCCTTTTGCTGGTAAATTATTGAATAAATAAGACACGTGAGCTCAGCAACAAATATATATATATTTTTCCAGAGTTGTGTTCTTTAATAAATTAAAGTCGATTGCTCTTTGAGAGAGCGAACTTGAATTATTATTTCATTCTCAATACATTAATTGTAGATGGTCTTAAACAACATTATCGCAATAACTACCGGAACAATTCCAGCAATATTTGTTACTGCAACAGGCCTGCTGATCAGTTAAAAAAAAGTATTTTATAAACAGACATTAGATCAGGAGCAGTAATTCCACTGGATTCAGAAAACCTACAACAAAACCAGTAACTGGCCTCAACCAAACGCTTGTTAACATTTCACTAAAAATAGAAGAAACATTAGCATTCATAGAGAAAGTTAATCATCTTTAAAAATGTTTCAAAGTAGCTCAAGAAAACATTAAATCTGCTGCTTATTTAGATGCAGCAGATTGAGCTGCACTCAAAAGGTTGAGCTGCAGAGCAGCATTCAAATAATTAGAGATGTAAAATTAAATGTAACACTGTGGATGAACTCTGCCAGTGTGTTTATAATTTCTTAGTAACTATTCAGCCTGTTTGCCTGACTCGGTTTAATAACAATGTAGTCATTATTGCCTGGAAGCTTCACTTCCAGGCAATCCTACTCATGGTGGAGTGACCGTCCACTTCTGGTCACCTTGTGTTTTACTGAATTATATGCTAATATATTCCACTACCAGTACCTCCACTCTGACTTTATGTCAGCTAGAGGTCGTAATTTACTGCGACATGGTCTCTCTGTCTGACTGGTCGGGTCATCAGGGGAGAACAAGAACAAACGGTTCAAGCTGCAGATTTTAAAGTTTAACAATGATTTTGGTTTTCAATAAAACAGTCCGAGGCAGAAATATGGCTACCAGACTCCAACCTGTCAGCAAACTTTCAAACAAGGCTGGAGATAACTGTTTGTTCACTGATGGCAGGAAGTTTGACTTCCTTTGCAACCTTTGCCATCACCAAACCATGATCAACTTTACAGATTCAAAAACTGGTAGACTGTTAGAAGAAAACTGAATTTTGAATCACAAAAGTGTAATTCCTGTACATTCATAGCAGAGACCCACTTGCAACTAAATGATAAGCTGTAATAAAAAAAACTCAAGGAAAAAAAAAACTACTGATGCACTGAACCTTTTTTTCTGACTGATTTTAGGTTTTCTTTGAGATCCAACAGTAATACAAGAGAAAAAGCCCCAGATGTTTTTAATAAAGTAGTTTTGAATTAAACAAAAATTACAAAAGATTTTTCCAAATCATACAAAGCACATGTTCTTAACCCTCATCTGATACTTTGGACAAAAGTGTACTACAGTACATGTCATTTGCTGGTGCATTGACAGAAAAAAAGATAGGAATGCTTAGTTTTAAAGCTTTTAGTTCAGGATTTCTAACTGCTATATATGGTTATCGTCCATATCAGTCATTTTGTAGCCTGTTTTAAAAGAATAACTACAGAGTGGAAGAAATCATTTGTAATCCTACACCCAGATGGAGATTTAAAGCAAACGATGTGGATTAGCAGAGCTTAACATCACCTGATAGTACCATCCAGGATGCATTACTGTGGAATATCTTTTCTGTTGCCCAAAAATTGAACTGCTAGTTTGTCATGATCGCCATAGGACTAGTATACAGTCTTCAGTCAGAGGCCTCTTCAGGTACATTGGAAGACTGACTGCTACCGGAGCATCACACATCCACAATAACACTTTGAAGATGTTTGGATCATGATAATGAGGTAGAACATTTAACTTCCCTTTGAGAGATATAAAGTATTTGCAGATTAAATAAACTTGAGAAACAAAATGTTCAGACTGCCAAGGAACTGTGGACCTGCAGTTTGAGTGTTTCTCAGGTGAAGCAAATGGCTGAAAGCATTGGCTGGTTCTGCTTGATACCCCATGAAATATGTAACATAATAAAAAACTGCTTTCAATTGCTCGGTATAGATCTTTCAATTTTGTTTTTTGGAAACAAGGAAATGTGAGCTACTTATTAACCACTCAGTGCCAGCATGCTGAGTCACTCCGGGCAGACTCCTGTTGGATACAGGTTTCTTTCCACAGAACAACTTCAAACAAATTTGTCCTGTTTTCAACCTGGTAGAAGACTAGCATAAAGAAAAATGAGCCACAAGCACATTGCTTGTGCTTTGTCAAGACACAAAGGGCCAAACACTGGCTCTGGATGTGCAGCCCCACTGTCCAGCAGCGGGGCGTGGAGCGGGGAGACAACGAGCACATTTCGCCTGGCCTGCCTGCTCATCCCACTCCAGGCTCAGCCGGATTCCAGGCTTCACAGAAACCAGAGGAAATGGTCCTGTTCCCAAACACAAACTATTTCCTTCCCCCGATGACCTGCTCTGTGGGAGCCCCGCTCTCACTTCCGCTTCAGTTGAACAGCCCAGGCACAAAGTGCAGCTTACCCAGCATTAGGAGCATATTTTGATAGCATTTGTAAGATTCAAAGCACCACTGACGCCATGTTAGATGGAGCAGATTTTGAGTGAAATGGTAACAGTTTTGTTTCGCTCGCTTACACAAATACAGGGTTTATTCTACGTGTGCATGGGCAGATAAAAACAATGATGGACAGCACTGTGGTGTGTTGCACTACTTAGCTTGTTTGGTTTAGCACAACTTCTGATATGTATTCTGTGTGTTGCAAGACTTCTTGGTTCATGGGAAACAGACTACTTTTTTCTAATGAGGTAGAAACTAAAGATCAAAAGAGAATGAGCGTTTCGACAACATGCTAATGACCATCTCCTGAACTGCAGGTAGGAAGAGAGCAATAAGATCAGCGAAAGACGGCTCTATGACTCGATATTTACCTCCAAGGCCAGGGCGGTCTTGTCGTAGGCATTGGGCACCCTCTTCTGAATGGCCCTGGCATAGACTGGTCCGTTCTGGAGATTCGGCAGGGGAGTGGGCTGGGCATACTGGCTGGGGTCTCCTGTCAACGGAGCGCCGGACTGAGCTGCAGAGTTGTCTGAGTTCCCTGCAGGCGGCACCGCAGGCACGCCGGCCCCGGCCACCGCGCTCGGAGACGCCGGTCTGAACTGCTCCACGTACGGGACTGGAATCATCCCCGTTTTTCCTTCAGAGTTCTGGGCGTTCCACCACTGCTCCTCAGGCTTCTCCAGTACTCTGAGGATGTCCCCCATCCGAAATGGGAGATCCTCCTCGTCGTTGCCAGGGAAGTCGAAAAGCCCCCGGACGTACTCATCTTCCAAGCGTGCCGGAGGTTTGGCCACGCCTCGGGCGGAGCGGGGATTTTTGGACTTGTTCATGGGACCTATCAAGGTGGTGGTGTCCAAGTAGTGGATTTTGTAGAACTCGAGCAGAGCAGGAAGAGACTCAAACTCCTGGTCACCAATACGAAACTTGTGGGGAGGCGAACCTGGTCCAACACAGGAGAAGGAGGGAAGGTAGAACAAATTTTCATTTACACTCATTTTATTTTCTTTTGGCTGAAACAATAGACACCTGCTCTAAAGCAAAGTCAGTGTCTGAGGTCTAAGACTGTCGCAATCAATCAATCGCACGATAATTTAAAATGAGCTCAATGATTTCTATTCTAATGATTAACTTCTTTTCCAGAAAGATCGTTATCCATTTATTTATGGCTTTCGTTGTGCTGTTGTGTTTTATTTTGGATACTTAAAATATCTTTCAGTTCCACTATTAAGCCTTGTTTACAACATTAAAGTTTATCTCTGACAGGATGAATTTGCATTTTTATACCTCTATCCATACCTCAGACATTAAGGTTATTGTTTATCGCAATAACTTCTGGGACAATTTATTGTCCAGCAAAATACGTTATCATGACAGGCCAAGTGAGGTCCTGAACAGAATTTTCTTCTTTGTTTTGTTACAAATATATAACTATAATTTGAATGTAACTACAAATCCAAAGTTGAGATTTTTGAAATGACCAGGACTCTTGTAGCGGTTGGTTTGCTTGTACCTCACGCTGGCCCTGCTTCGTTTTGATATGCAACACGTAGAAAAGGTGGATCCAAACTTGTGTCCAGAACTTTGGTTCTTTCCACAAAAACTTTGAATCCACTTGTGTTGGTATACATGAATCCTCAGTTCTTCCAAACTTGTTTTGTTGTTGTTGCATGTTTATTACATACATTTTAAATATACAAAAAAACACATAGAAAAACAGAAAAAAAAAATGAATTATGAAGTCTTTATCAACAAAACTGTCCTTCAGAAAAAGGTCTAGTTGAGATCAAAACACTAGAGTGAAGAATTATGTCATCCAGTTTTTGGTAGAAAGAGAAAACCTTTAATCTATGATGCAATTAGTTGATTTATTGTTTATTGTGACAGGCCAACTAATTACAACCCATTCCAGGTGGACAGCTTACCTACAGTAACCCAAACAAATTTGATTTAGATCAATAAAATCATCACAGATCATGAAGTTTGACATTAAAATGCACCCCAAATGCTCAAGAATGGGCCGGCCCTGTTGATGACGAGTTCACAAGTGCAAAAGGCAAGACTATTTCTGTAACTAGTCATGATGTTGGTGATTTCCAGAGTGACCAGGAAGCATCTTGGTTTCCTTATTTTATGTTTTTCCCTCAAATGTTGAGGAACAGGTAGGTCTATTGCAATAAGAGATAAATGAGTTAATTGCGTGATAAATGAAAGTGAACTCAATTTTTATTTGGATGATTTATTTATTTTTTTCTCTTTCTCTCTTCTGCTCCCAAAAACTGGATGATGACAAAAGTCTTCATTGGTCTCAACTAGTTTTAAAAGACAATTTTGTTCAAATAGACTTTTTTTGTTTCTCTTGTTTTGTTTATAGATATTAAAAATGTCTTGCAGTTCCAGTTGTAAATGTTTATTACAATTTAAAGCTTATTAATCTTTGAGAATGTGTTCTTTCAACATTACTATTCCAGTACTTGAAAATGGTCTCAAAACAACAATATTATCGTTTATTGCAATAATTTCTGGGACAATTTATCGTTCAGCAAAATTTGTTATTGTGACAGGCCTGGGACAGGAGCCTTAAGCGTCAAAACTAATATCATTTGAAGTTCTTGTGAACATTATCTGCACTTTCTGGAGGCATATTTATCTCTGCGCTGCAAATATTGCTCAATCTGTTAATGAAACTATATGATTTATAGTCACCCATCTCTAGACACAGTGATATGCTACAACAAACCAGATTATGATGCGTCTCATTGTGCATGGCCATCTATATTCCCTATGCTGGAAAAAGAGTGGCACTATTCCGCCTCTTCTGTGGTGCAAGTCATGCAAGAATGGTCCCATCGGTGGCACCACCGTGCACCGAGCCCCTCCACGCCCCCTCTCCGTGCTCTTACCTGGCTCGGGCTTTCGGCTGTTCGTGTTAATTATATAATGCGAGACTCTGGAGTTCTCCGACACCGACAGCACGTAGTCGCCGGGGCTGGTGATGGAGTCCCGGACCAGAAACACGCCGTGCCGCTGCCCCTGCAGCATACACACAGTCTCCGCTCTGGTCAAGCGGCCCCAGTACCAGCTCTCGCGGTCCGACGCGTCAAATCTTCCGGCCATGATCACCAACACAAAGCCGAGGCTTTACCCGTGGCCTTCCCTGCTCTCCCTCCTGTTATCCACAAGCGGAGCCTTCAACTCATACAAAAAACTTTAGCGCCGAGAGCACGTTCAGTAAACGGGCGACATCCGCAGCTGGCCGTGTGGGCTCCAATCCGCAAATACTGGAGGAAAACCGCGCTGTAAAAATACCTCCGGTGTGGTCTGTGGTCAGCCTGCTGGTCTACCAATCATACAGCTTGTGTCAGAGGCACGAACGTTGCTACAAACCAGCCGCTGATGACAACTAACTTCAAAAACTGAAATGGCGGATACGGGAAAACAAAAAAGGCCCCACTCACCGGAAGGGACGTAGACTTTGGACGCAGAGCACGCACGACGTCAAGCTCCATACGTCATGATAAATAGATAAACACAAAGTTATTGAAATACGCTTGCAACTTTGTTGTTTCTCATACTCTCTAACTGTAAAAATTATTTTTATATACCGGAAAATTTATTTTTCTTTTAAAATGCTAGACTTTGTAGTGGTTGACTTCGTCACAACTTCATGTTTTACACAAAAAAAATATATTTTTATATTAGTACATTAAATGAAAAATTTTGGCCCAGGAGTCATTTAAGGTTTCTCCTCCAACAAGTAAACAAAAGCGTGCACATTTTCAACAAGGGAAAAGAAATATGAATGTGCAATTCATCTTAATGTCCACAAGATGTCACTGAACACACGTTAGTTTTGGTCTGTACTGCAACTTGTGTGATACAACTTCATGACTTTTGAACGTGTTGAAAATATTGGAAAAATATTTCTTTAGAAATAAGTTAGCTGTAGTGTATTCTCTTTGTCTTATACTAATCTGAAAATGCCTTATAGATTCATGGAGAGACGGCAACAGTCATTTTCTACAGTAAGTTGTACAGTGACCTTGGATTTTGTGACTGGTTTGTGAGTTGTTTTTTTTCTTCTCTTCCCAAATTCTGAAACGTAAAAATAATTTGTAGGTCTTATAAAAGATGTTGAAAATAATGCCCCGTCATATTTTCAGGTTTTCAAAGATCATTTCACCTTCAATTCAAGAAAAGTAATTTTCAGCAATGAATGTCAGACAATTTACTTTTGTAATTCAAACAAGTTTAAAAATGCAAAAGGAAATTAGAAAGATGCAAATTCAAAATCTTGAAAAAGTTTTCATACCTATTAAAGTTTTTTTTTTTCATATTTTATCAAAGTGCAACTACAAATGTTAGTGTATCTCTTCTGTATCTGCATTCAGGTTTTAAACTAATATATGATTAAAGTGTGTGTTTGTGTTTCACTCTACAAATAGAAAATGCAGTTAGTTTAACAGTGTAAACATTTATGGAACCAGGTTATTGTAGCTTTTTAATATCTCACCCTCAATTGACTTTTTGGGTTTTCTTGTTGAATTGAACAAGCTGTCAAATTACATGTCAAAACAATGCCCTCCTTTTTTACAGCTGAAAAAAAAACTTTTTTGAAAGTAACCACACAAATACTTTTGCAAAGCATGTCATTTACAATTTTAACTTTATCTATAGCACTGTCTATTTATTTCCAAGTCCACTGAGGAAGCAGCTGTGTTGGTGAAATTATACAGTATAAGTAAGTGGCTGTTGCAAATGGAACACAAAATAGCTGAGTTATTTCTTACTCTTATCATAGACTTTATTGGTTAGACCCAAGGCAAAACAGCAAATCACAGTCATACAAATCATCTTGGATTTTAGTAAGTCTATAAAGTTCTTCAAAACAATCATATTGATAAAATGACAAAAAATTAAGTTAGTATAAAGAATATTACAGAAGCATACTGTAGATTGAGGAGCATATAGAGAATAAAGAATCACTGATCAAGATCCAAGGCCATTCATGCCTACAGATTCACTAAATGTTTATTTTTCTACATGAGCTCAGTAGAGTCCTTGAGGAGGATATACAGCATCTTTCCTTGCTTTCTGTAAGTCCAAGGTGAACGCCAGGATCGTCTTACTGTAACAGAGAGGGACTCGCCATTCTGCCTCTGGAATTCTACAAAGAGTGCAAGAAGTAAAACAAAATGTACTTCACTATTATTTGAAACTTTGCCCCGAACTGATCAACATGTGAGCTTCTCTCACCGAAAAGCTGAAGTACTGTCAAGATAATTCTTTCTATTGAATTTCCTTAATCAGAAGATTTCAATTAATCGCCTCCATCTGTTGATTTATGGAGCTAATTCAAGCAGCGGTCTGGTTGTTTTGATTTGCCATGACCTTGACATTAAAAGCAGACGTGTGCGTGGCGGCAGCTCATTATGATTAAATACACGTACCTCCAGTTGGGGCTCGTTGCGAGCGGTTGGAAGGCAGTCAGAGTAATCACCGCAATGAACCTGCAAGACCCTGACCCTAAAGCACTGAATAAACAAAGCCTGTTGCTCGGACAGAACAACACAGGACAGTTCAAGTACAAGATAGCAAGCAATATTTAAAGTCATTTGTTGTAAAGGGTTCATTCTTTATAAAACCGGTTTTGGAGACTCGCTTGTTGTTAGGGTGGATTAAAGGGATTCCTTTTTCTTTGATATTAGTTGGATGTGCAAAGCTGTTAATATCCTGCTGGTATCAATGAACATTAACACCTGTCCATAAAAATGTCATTCTGTCACTGATGAACAGCTAAAATGAAGATTCAGTTAAAATACACCACCGGACAGTTCTGGATGAATTTGTAAGGCTTTACCAGAGGGCAAACATATATTTAACTTTGGTAGAGAGTATTTGGTAAATCTGAGCTCAGTTCTACATTAAAGTAATTTTATGACGTTTAATTTATGGCTGTCTTCTCCATCTGTGATAAGGGAAAGTTTTCCGATCCTTCCAGGGAAAGGTCCAGACTCAAGAGTGTTATCTCCAAGGTTTCTACAAAAAATTTTTCAAGGCCATTTAAAGTCCAGGTTGTTTTTCAGATGTGATTTCCTGCTCTAAGATAACCCTCACTTAGAGCCCTCATAGCAAAGATGCTGTCACTCTGTCTCTTGTCTTGCCGCATATGCAGGCACATCTGTGGGTCTAAATGTGAGGAAATTTTGCTAAATTTTTTTGATGTTCTACATTCCTTTGTGGAACATCAAAAGTATGTCTGTGGAGAATGTGGTTCAGCTTAACGTTTTTTAAAGTGCAGTGATGACTAAATTTTTTACCCAGGAAGGACAAAAGGGAAAGAATTCGAGCTCCACGAAAATAAAATTCGAGCTCCACGAAAATAAAATTCTTATTTATTTATTAAAACCACCAATATTTTTATTGTAACTAATTATGTCTGCTTCACAAAAAACTTAATGCAAAATTTAAAAAATAAAGTTGAAAGAGAATAACAAAACTATAATAGATCCAAAATACGATAGGCTATCACATTATTAACTTATTAAAAGAAAGACCTTAAATTACATAAATTTTTTGGGCATAATTTGTGTCTTGGTCTAAAACAGGTTTCTCTATTTTCACACTCTTTTCATAAATGGTTGTTTTTCTGAGTTAAGCTTAATGAATAGATGCATCTATGTAGGGTTTTGTTGCTGCAATCACACAACTAACTTGAAAAGTTTCCTTGCAGCAAAAAGGTACTGGTTTGAGTCCCAGTCTAGAATTTGCATATTCTCCCTGTTCATGCATTTGTTTTCTCCAGGTGTTCCAGTTTTCTCCCACAGTCCAAAGACTTGACTGTTAAGTTAATTAGCCTTAGGTAACAAATCTGAAGATGGAATTAAAACTCAATCTTGAAAAAATTTAAACATATTAGACATTGTTTCTCACTTTATTTTATTTTATTTAAACAGACTCTGAAAGCCTTGAATAAAAAGCCACATCATTCACACCACTGTAGGATTCTAGAGAAATACAAGTTTATGAGCTGTAAATATGTTAGATTATTTTACTGTGTCTTGTTTATACTATTGTAAATAATCTGGCTCTTCCTCTGCTCTGTCTGACTTTATGCATACTCGCCCTTTAGAAATGATTCAATCAGTGAGATTATCATCTGGGAGAAAATGTGCATCCTATTTCACCGTACTGCTACGGTGAAAATTGGCTTTTTCTGTAAAGGCAACTAATGAGTGGAAAATATTGCCTGATGATGTGAGGATCATTAGATTTCTGAGGTTTTTCAAATCTAACTTTGAAAAATAAGATAAAAACTGCTTAAAAATGTAATTGTTAACTATAACTGTGTGTGTGCCAGTGATCAAGTCTATACATGTGTTTGTCTGTTGAAACTGATCTGCGCTGTTGGATGTTTCTGTTTTGTTTTACTGTTTTTGCCTTATTCTGTAATCTGGTACAGAGCATCAGATGGTGACCACAGTGTTTGAATTGTTCTGAATACTGATCATAATGGCATTGCAAGAGAAACTATGCAATAATGTGATACTGGTAAAACAATCATATATTTTCTCTGCCCATGTTTGTCTAAAATCCACCTGGTAAAATTTGGATTTAATAGATTCAGGTAAAAGGATTTAAAGCCTGATAATCATTTACAGCACTTCTGGTGGAATCTGATTCTGGGATTATCCTGCTGAGAGCAATAAAGAAACACCCCACTGTCTCAAAATTAAATGGATTATTGTCAATATTTATCCCCATGCTGCACACATTAAGTGTTAACGCAGTATTTCAGTATTCCTCCCTGTGTCTGCGCTTTGTAAAAACCCCTCTCTGTTTTACATAACTGAGATTTGATTAATGAAACTCTCCAGAAACATGCCTTTGATTGGTCAGCATGGGGTTCAGTGTTCACTGAGTCTCTTATTAAATGCACAGTAAAATAAGAAGCCTTGAAAGAGTCGGAAAACCTTCTATTGGCACTGTATGGCCTTTTTTCTCTCTGTACTGAAGTGTTTTAAGTCAGATAAATGTCCTGAAGTGATGTCAATTGGCCCATCGTTTGATCACTTAAGACTGAAATCATAAACATAAAAAACATCTGGAGCTGTGGTGGTTCAAAGAGACCAGGGTGTGCTAATGTCTGACTGATGCTACAGTTTGATTTGCCATTATCATGATGCAGCTGAATCTATTAGAGACTAACTGCAGTTGTGCCAGTGTCAGTGATTGATGTCGTTAGTAAGTTTTACAAGAGAGAAAGTGTGAGTCCCATCTTGCTGAGTGAAACTGTTGACTCTAGATGAAAATACAAACTAATCTTTTCCCTTTTCACAGCTTATTTAGTTTCACTCAAAGATCACGTGACTGTACTGCAGTCACGTGATCGGGTCAAAATGAACAACAGAGGCACATTGAAGATCTCCTCTCAGCAGTGTGAAGCAGCAACACAAGCAAGAATTAAGCGCACAACAAAGTCCGAAAGGTGGTGCATCGTCAATCTAGATCTGCAGAAACTGGCCTTAGCGGACCCTCATAGGGTTCGTTAATGTCTGAATTGATAGCACTCATTTGATTGGGGATTTTGATTGGGCTGGACTTCAATATGATGTACCTGCTTCAATATGAAGCAGGCACCTCGGAGTACACGGGTGCTCTATTTGTGTCCTATTTGATAAGAGTTAACAGCCATAAATAGAGGGAAATACAATTTTCAGATAATACTATAGAACAACATTAAATTATATTCACCATTTGAGCATTTCTGGGACCACCGATTTCAATTATTGTACAATAGAAAACAAACTCCAACTTTATGGTTTAGTGCATGGATACGAAGTAGGAAGGGAAGGAATGATGACGCGTGTGTACCAAATGTTTGTGTGAATTTTAAAAGAGGCAAACAGATTTTTTACGTCAAACCGGTAAGATGACTTCCTTACATGTGGCTCAGCAACACAGAAGTGTTGCTGATTGATCACCTGGTTGTTCAGCTCCACCTGTGAACGAGGCAACATCTGACTTTATACATATTTACTGCATTTGGATGAAGCTACGTTTTCATTTTCATATATTTCTCTACATGTCTAGATCTGTCTCTTTGCAACAATACAACTTGTTCCCTTATAAAATATCTAACAGACTAGTGTAGCTCATAAATATTGCTGCTCCAGACTCCAATAATACTAAATATGAGCTCTTGTTTGTCAGAACCTCAGAACTAAGCTACACGGTAACTCCTCAAATATCTTATATATATTTTGATATTTATAGTACAACCAAAAATACAGTGGATCTGTTAAAGTTCTGCATGGTGTTACGCGAGAAGGGAAAGCACAGCTGGGTGAAAGCTACATACTGCTACCTGAGTGCAACCATAGGGGCGGGAGGGCTATATATAAACAGCGCTGTAAGCATGTGGCGCATGCTCGCGTACTGAACCATGGAGTGAAAGCATGACCTAGATTATGAGAAAAAATACTTCTAAATGTTTCATGTTTGGAGATGTGGCCGGTCCTAGCACATCTATCCTCTGTACACATTCAGTCTAAAATAGCAAGTTTTCTTTTTTAACGTCTTCATGGCAGCTGGTTTGCTCTCCGCCTGTGAAACACTGCGCACCTGTTTGGTTCGACAGCAGCAGCAGATTTACACCAACGGCTTAACTTTTGATTTCTGCACATCTTCTGATCCTGTAATGTGCTGGTTGTGGGAGGGAAATGTTCTCCAGCTTGGTTTCATCTCATTTTGGACCAGCAAACAGAGGTGCTACAGGCACATGTAGGTATTAGCACGACTAAAACAAGGAAAGACCTGATTAAAGATCAACATTCTGCATTGAACCTTATCAGCCTATTCTGTGCATCCTCAGGTGTATCAGATCGGTTGGTCATAAATCACCAGTGGGGGCTTGTTCATGAGGACCGCATGCAACACTGGAGCCTGTACTCCCATTGCCTCTGTCCACATAGGACGGGACACAAGAAGGAAAACACAAGCAGATCTGGGAGCAACACTCAGGTTAAATGTTCTGATTGGTCCGTCATGTCCTCCTCCTCCACTCTCATTGGCTCAACTATAGCAAAGGAGTGTTGGGACTGGCTGGAGCAGGACAGGCGGGATGAACGGCTCTGTGTGTCGTCCTCGTCCTCCGCCATCACCGCCCTCCTCCCGGGTCTTATGTCTCTCTTCTGGTCCTCCTTCTCTTTTTCCTTCTCCTTCTCTTCCTCCTCTCGCCACGCTCTCCTGCTCCTCACTGTCGCTCTCCGCTGCTCCCCCAGCGTCCACATGCTGTCCTCGTCGTCGTCTTTGCCCTGAATCTCCCTGTCGAAGTCCAACAGCTCTTCCATCATCTCCTCGATCTCCGTCTCTCCGTCCATCTCCTCCTCCACCTCCGATCGGAGCTCGCCCATGCTCTCAGTCAGGTTGGTATCGTCTGTCTCCTCCTCCTCTCCGAGACCCCTTGGCCTTTCGGGAGCGTCGCTGGCCTGACTCTCGCCAAACTCCAGGATGGTGGGCAGATTGCCCTGCTTGGGGCAGCGCTTCCTCAGGCTGACCAGGAAGGGTTGAGGCAAGGAGAAGATGTCCACGTTGTTCCCCAAATCAATCCATGTCACACTTGGAAAGCTGCTTGGATCCTGAAATGAGAAATATTTACATTAACAAGAGATGTTTATCTCCATTATTTTTTATTTTTTGGGCTCCATATTAGCTACATTAGGTTTAAATACTATAGTCTTTTTAACGTCCTGAAAAAATGAATTTTATTACACCTGTCTCGACTGGTGATGGTGAAAATAGGGAAGAGCATAAATAAAAACGGCAACATGGAATGGTGAAGATTTAAAGACTTAAAGACTTGATATGAACATAAGCGTTCATCAACTACAGACATAAAATGCAAAAGAATCCCAAGACAAAGGAGTGATTAGAAATTTCAATACTACGTGAGACAGGTGAGGAAGATATCTGATTGGGTAAGACAGGTCAATCACATGAGCTAAATTAACAAAAAGAAAGTTGACCTGAGGGAAGCAGGTCAACTACAGGAAATAAAACCTTTCATGTAAAGGATGATAGAATCTTCTCAGTACAAATGAAACTAAAGAAAACCAAAACATGGAAACTGGAATATAACAGGACTGAAGCATAGGGACAATAATAATTATGGCTAGAACACTTATGAGACCAGCAAGAGAATTATATTAGCAAGAAACTAATCTAAACAAAACTTTAATTTAGATAAAACATAACACAAACGAAACATAACCTACAGAAACAAAACATGACACAACCCACAGATAAATAAGCAAAGACTATGAATGACATTGACCCCATGACAAAAACACCAATCCCCCAGACATCACGACAACACCTGACTATTATCAAAGGTATAAAAAACATTAAGACAATCCTTTCTGACCTTCAGGGCATCAGTGAGTTCCTTCAGAATAGCTCTGGTCAGTCTGTTTCCGTTCAGAGCCAGGGTCTCCAGGTGTGGCAGAGCAGCCAGCGTGGGGAGGAGCAGGAGGAAAGCTTCGTCAGTCAGTTCGGTGAAGCCCAGCTCTAAGCTGACCACGCTGGACGCGTGACGCTGCAGGTGGGCAGACAGACGCTCCATGTCGCGAGTCGTTAGAGGGATGCCAGACAGATCCAGGGCGCCGCTGGACAACGGGGCTGACAGCACCGCTTTTAGGCTGGAGACACAAGAACAAAAAACATCTAAGACGGTGTGGATCAGATTCTTTTAGTGATCACTCAAACTGTTCATAATTTTTCACTATTATAAAATTACACATTTTGCAATTATAGCATTATTTACCATGACTAGTTTTATAAGACAAAAAAATTGCACTATTTTCACAATTTTCACATAATAATTATTAGTAGGTCGCCACGTGGTATTATATAATAATTATATGTATATTTTTCAAGTCCATATCTAATATGTATTTGTGCAATAAGGAGATCAAGCCCATACATACTGTGCATAAGTATTTGGCAGCTTCTCGTCCTCAAGCAAAATTAGCTGAAAATCAGATTAAGCTGACTCTGAAAAATACGTATCTGGCTCTGACTGGTTGTTTTTGTATTTCTGCAGATGGCAGTAGGACAACAGGGAGACAGCAGAGTTTGATTTTTTTTTTTCACAAATTACCTGCCTTTTGACAAATATAGAAAAAAAAACATGTTTACAAAAATTACATAGTGCATATTTAAAGTGTAGCAAACAATAAAATAAAACTATTAAAAAGCAATAAATGCTTGTCTGTTCAGGTTGTTTGTCTCGAATGCTGTTTGAAAACATGTTGGAGTCAAAAATAAATTTTGGTGTCTGTATCTGGCAGCGAATTAACATTTGAGTTCTGACTCATAAAATGAAAAAATTACCTTAGACAATATATCAAGAAACAACTAGTCATCTTGTGGACTGCAGGGCTGAACTGTTATCATCAGTTAGAAGCTGAATACGTTTATCTGTTCGTGAGCCAGAGGGACTTTAGGGAAATCTAGGACACAGCAGCCCAAAGCAAAAAACAGAGGTCAAATTTAACTTCCCAAAATGATTGTTCCCTCTGTCTGGTCATAGAGACAGTCCCTTGTTATTGAACTATATTTTAAATTTGATTTTAAGATACCGGTTTCTGATTGGTTAGGTCAAGGCACAGGGATGTGATGCACTTTTGGGTTTCTTTATATTTTTACTGCATCTCTTTAACGATCCATGTCGGTCAAGTAAGGACATCTTCTGAAGATCAAACATTTGTTATCTATTCTTCTTCTGTATTTGTTATATGCTATGGCTGCCACAATTCACCCACTGAAATGTAAAGATACACTTTTTCAATACAAAGGTATTGAAAAAGTGAAAATGAATCTGTTTTTGTCCAAGCGCAATAAAAACGCAGTGCCCAGGGTTTTGTTTGAACAATATTATAAATACGAAGAACTAAAATGATGCGAATAGGGAGATTAGGGAGGCACAATATATCTTCAATAGCATCAGTATGGATCGATATTAGTCATTTTTTAATATATAGGTATCCATTTGAGGACTAAAACTGGACTGATTTCAACAACAATTAATATTTATTTCCATCTTGCTGCAATATGTTTCTGGAGAGGGTATTTGTTTGGTCAAGTGACAGTGATTGTGATGTAGTGTTTTTTCCCCCCAAAGTGTTGAAAGGGTAGTGAAGTACTGCATCTGTAAATATGGGTTATCAGCCATTACTGCAAAATCAACATTGGAATCGATATTGGCAAAAATCCCTAGTGGAGATAGATAGTAGGATGACTCCAGGAGGTTATTCTCCTGAGAAATCACGTCTTTCTATGCCATTGAAATGAAAAGCAGATATGCTGGAGTGTTATGGGAGTGTAAGGGAAAAAGCACGTAAGTATATTTAATCGGTAATGAAGTGCTTTAAAAAAACACCTTGAGGCAGATGATGCTGCCCCTGACAGTCTGGGTAAGTGATCTCCAACTACTTCCCACAGCAGCCCTGGAGGGACGCGCACCAACCTCAGTCCAAGCAGACCATTTTCTCCTCCACGCTAAGTGAAAGTGTGCTAATTAGTTGACACAGCTGGTGCGGTGGTGCCCTCGGCTCTCTGTTACCCCAACACTGAAAACGCTGATCTAATCGTTCCAGTCCATAATACCACCTCCCTTGTTCAGCAGCCCCTCCTCTTCCACTCTGAGTTCACAGGACCACCAGAAAGTAAAATTACACACACTTAAACCCAAAGGCAATCTTTTAAGCGCTGCATGCAGTCTGATGTGCTATCAGCATGGAGGGATTTTTCTCCTATGGCTTTACGGGTTGCTTTCCCATGGCTTAGAGCGCCATAGCCTGTTACAGCTCATACAGCTTCTAGTGGTGTTCTCTTCTCATCGATTTGAAGCAATAAACAAGAGCAGACATGAGTCGCAGCGTGGAAATAAAAAACAGATGAGAAGCTAAAGGAAGTCATGATGTATTTGGCTTCAGACCAGAATCCCACGCCATGGAATGTGACACACTCCTCCCAGCATCAAACCACGCTCATCCACCCTCTGTCTCAACAACGCCCTGCGATAATGTGTAAAGGAGGATGATTCTCCTCTACCAATCCCATTCTGGGTTCATTCCTGGGAAGTAAAAGTATATATTAAATCTGCTGTATGTTACTTTTATTTAAAAAAAAAAAAAAAAACGTTTTTCACATATTTGTTAAAACGTCACCACGTCGTGACAGTTTGTTATGAGACGGATCATCTGTGAAATGATCAATCTCCTCCACCTCCTTCCTGAGCTATCAATGCCATTTGAAGAAATGTACAGCTCTCGACCATAAACAACCAATCAGAGCCAGGAGGCTGTCAATGAATCTCTTGTACTTTCTGCTCAATGGGCTAATGGTGGAGAAACAACTCATTGTTCCAAGAAAACTGTTTATCCTCCATCATCAGCATAGCAAAGAGCAAAAGGGCAAGGGAGAGTAGACCAGCGCCACGCAGAGGATGATTGACAACTCTAAGACCCGCCTCTTTATTCTTATAGGCTGTTAGCACTGGAACCGCTGCAAGAAGGCAGAGGAGCTTGACTTTTTCACTGATTATCCATTTCATACCATATTGTCATGACATAGTGACAGTGTTAACAAATATGTAAAAACATTTTTTTTTTTGTGAAAGTTACATACTGCAGCTTTAAGTAATGGTGAGACTCAATTAAAGTTTTTAAACAAGTTGATTGCATAGTGTGTAATTAATCACATTTAATTCAAATTTTAATTGAAACTCATATGTTGACAAAATAAGCAGCATTTTTAATTCATGACCCCTTTCATCCTAAATTATTAAATGAATAGACAAATGAGCTCTACAACAGGGATAATATTGACATTAGTGTTGTGGACATCTGTGCTGTTGCAACATGTTTTGCATTAAAATGGTATTTTATAGTTCAATAATGCCAGTGATAAGCTGCCTCCTTTCAGCACAACTTGCACACAACATTAGTTGTTTTTTTAGCAGTCTCATCAGATTGTTTTCTGAAGCAAAAATTAACTGGGCAACACCCAACTGGACTTATTTAACTGAAGTCAAGCTAGCTCAATTGGAAAAAACTCAAGTTAACTCAGTGGCACAACGGTTCTGTATCTGTGAATGTCCATAACGTCAGTCTGTTGTTGTTTTTCCGTTGATCTGGTATAATGAGGAATTTAAAATAAATGACCAAAAATCTGTTAGAAACCTGGCAGAATCAGAGCAGCATCTTGGACCTTGTGCAGCTCTGATTATTACAGTGACATTATAATGACTTGTGACTCAGCGGCTACTCCTCCTCTTGTCCCCACACTAAGGAAACAGTTAGGTAACAAGGCGGATGTCATTACTAACATTTCATAGTGTTCTTGTGGTATATTTTTGAAATGGTTCATCTTAAGTTCACCACCAATAAGAAAAAAACTGTAAAGTATGATGGAACATATAGTGTATTTCCACAATAATTCCTAATACACAATTGTTTTGATCACTTCTGAAAGGCCTGGATCTGCCCACTTGTTTCCTGAAAAAGACTCATAAAGCGAATTTATGCCATATTTAACTAAAGCTGTGGAGGCAGAATATGCATTTATGAAATCAGGATATTGCTTCATCCCATCTACACACCTCTTTAACTTGTTTTCTCGATTAACTGTGTTTTTGTTACCTGGGAGGACACAGGAAGGTGAGGTAGGGGCAAAAAAAATAATCTTTAACTTCCGTACAAAAAAATTCACAAAAATAGCGTAGAAGCTATGCACAAGTAAGCTTTGTGTACGTTTCCATGTCATTTCAGGAGACATCACCGACTGCAATGCGATTACCTTGTTCAGCTTTATCAAATCAGTGACCATCAGGAACTACTTCTATGCACAGTCTGATTTAATCCAATCATTGCAGCATGTCATTACACTGATTAGACCAATTTCAACCACAGGAAAAGTGAAAGGCAAATCTGAAGTGGTAATCTGGATGAGAATACTCCAACAAAACGGTTGCTTTGTTTGAGCCTTCATATTGCCTAAATCAGAGACTGATGCTGCCTTATTGATTTCATCTTTCATTCTTACATCTTCATTTAAGCTACCAGGACAAGACTTTTCTCGCGGAATGTTTATTTTTTTACACATTATTGTCTGATTTTGGATGTAAAGAAATAAGACTTTAGAGATTTGAGATACTAGTTTATGAGATTTCTGTAACGTCTGAGCTAAGGTTTATCCTAATCTGAGAATTATTACTCAGCATTTTCTGGCGACTCATACACTTACATGTCACTGTTTATGTACATATACATAACTATTTATGTATGTATTTATATTAAATAAAAACCTTGATTACTGGGTTTTACCCAGTAATCAGGCTCTGGTTTGGTTGCAAGGTAACGGGGCTATGCCTACCGATTATAATGTCCAGGAGAAGTGACTGTTTCAAATCAATGACTCTCAAACTAATATCTATTGGATTTCCTTGGAAACTTTTTAAACTCCCTTCAATAATTACTCGAGTTTAATGCACTGCTGCTCTATTCATGTCTGAATTGAAATAATTCTTCTCTAAAGTGCATTGAGACATCTGTTGTGAATTGGCGCCATAACTGAATTGAACTTAATATTTAAAACTGCTTGTTCTTTCAGACGCCAAAAAACATTAACTTATTGC